GGGCTGACTCGACGGCACATAACAACAACAACAACATCTCTATGAACAAGAAAAGTCTGGGGTCCACCAGCTGCCTGATCCTTTTAATACATTCTTGATGGGTGTGTCCTGTTAATTAAGATCATTCTTTTTGGAATTGGGAATAATTTGTCAAGGAGACAAAAGGTTTTGTTTTCTTTTAAGGGCCCAGATGGAGTTTCTATGAGCTGAAAGCAAATAGCAGAGATCAATAAAGCAATGGTCTGTTACACCTGGAGCACCATCTGTGTCTACACAACTGGAAATGCCTTTAGCTTGATAATAGATCTTGGGTTGGTAAGTCTAAAGTGTAAGAGAGTAGAGCATGATGAATATCTAAGTCAGGTTTGCTAAAAATTACGTAATGTATCTTTTAGAAAAGAAAACTATTCTTGCGGGATTGATTTAAATTATTGTATTCTCTTTCTTGGGAGCCCTGGTGGAACAGAGGTTATGTGCTTGGCTGCTAACCATAAAAGGTCAATAGTTCAAATTCACCAGCTACTCTGCAGGAGAAAGATGTGGCATGTTTGTGGCAGTTTGCTTCCTAAAGACTGCAGCCTTGGAAACCCTATGGGGCAGTTCTCTCCTATAGGGTCCCTATAACATGGAATTGACTGGATGGCAATGGATTTGTGTGTGTCCAGTTGAGTAGTAATTTATGTTCACAGACTAAATTATACAGAATTAACTTAGTACATTCAAGTGTAAAATGAAGGCAGACTGACAAGCAGAATTATTAGCTTGATATTTTTAATTATTTTAATTGTACGTGGACTGAGACACCTAGCACGTAAAATACCTTAGCAGAGTATCTCTAAAGGTGTTAGTAGGGTCTATGAACTTATTTCAAATTTGCTACCTTCAAGGAAATGGTGACATTCAAAAACGGCTTCAGTTAATGTTTGCAACACTCCCTCTTCTGCCAATTTCTATGACGACAATTCAGCTGATGGAAGAGTATCTGGAGAAGAACAATACAACTGACTGCTAGTGGCCCAGGTGGGTGTGGCCTCTGAACAAGAACCACGATGAATGCGGTTGTTCATAACCAGCAGGTCCACAGAATCAACCGTCCAACAACCAAGACATTGTTCAAGAAAGCTGTTAAGCGCCGTCGAGTTGGAACCGAATCATAGAGATCCCTCCTCGGTTTCCGAGGCGGTATCACTACGGAAGTAGATTGCCCAACCTTCCTTCCAAGGAGTGGCTGGTGGGTTTGAACCGTCAGCCTTCTGGTTAGCAGTCAAATGACTTAGGTACTACGCTACTAGAGCTCCTTGTTCAAGTAAGAGGTTTCAGAATTCCTCAGTGGGCCGTGCTTACTCCAGAAGACCATGGCAGCATAAACCCCTGAAATCTACCACACTTCAACAAAAACTGCATTCTCATGGTCTTCATTAGAAACTTAGTAATCTTAAGATATGTTCCACATCTGTTGCATCTGAATGTCAAGGCAAAACCAAGGCCCGTTCGTCCATTAGGCAGAACCGGCACAGCGCCAGGGCCCACGAAAATGTTTTCTTAAATCAGAAAAAAGAAGATAAACTTTTTAGTCACATAGTCATCTTTTTATCGATGAAACTGCAAGATATAATTTTTGGTGTAAATAAAAAAGTGCTTAAGTCATCGACCACTAGCTAAAAGGTTAAGGGTTCCAACCCAGCCAGAGAGGGTCTCAGAAGACAGGTCTGGTGATAAGCTTCGAAAGATTACAGCCGTGAAAGCCTTAGGAGCAGTTTTACTCTGCACGCACCGGATCGCCTTAACTCGGAACCCACTTCTCCGGCAGGTAACAACGTATATCTATTTTATGGAGAAAGGGGACCCAAGAAAGACAAAGTGCAGCTTGGCCTTACGGATGTAACTTCTCTAAGCACTGCAGTGAAGCAGTGAAGAGGTGTCCAGCTAGGAAGCCTTGCAGTAACTTCAATGCTTCTGGGGGGATCTCGGAGTCCACTGTCACTTCAGGGCCCTTTGCCTCCTCACCGAGCCTTGAATCCTCGCTCTCGAACACAGAGCTGCATACTGGCTGAGCAGCTCCGGTCCACAGCAGAGCTTCTAGTCGGCCACTCGGCGTCTCCACGGAGGCTGACACCACCCCTCACTCCGCGACAACGCGAGCCTCAGGCGGAAGAGGCGAGGCCTCCGCTTCTCCGCACGCGCGCCATTGGCCAACCAACTCCACAGAGCGGAGCCGGGCTTTCCCTGGTGGCAGCGGCGCCCGCGCCCGGGCCATCAGCCCCACCTTCCTTCCCGGCGATTGGTGACTGGGCCGTTCCCGAGCGAGCACTGAACGCCCGCCGCCATCTCCCCCAATGGGAGCGAGACAGGGGCGGGCCCGAGGGCAGAAGGAGCATGGCGTGGCGACAGCTGAAAGTGAGATGGAAAGGGGGACAGAAAGTGGGACTCTTGCGACACTAAGGAAAAGTCGGGGTCGTGAGTGGGGCGAGGGGAGACTGGAGGGCTGGTCGAGCCGAAGTGTAGGTTTAAGGCGACTCCAAGACAGTGTGCCCCTTTGGGGACGTTTGTGTGTCTCTGGGAGCACTCGCCAGTGCTCGCGCATGTGCATTTACTCGTTTACTTGTGAAGATGTGTGTGAAAGGGCACGTACATGGATAGGTAGTTCCGTCTGTGTGTCAGTGCAGGTGGTCCAAATTTTATTGAACTTGGCAGAGGGCACTCAGTTAACGCATTACCGCCCAGCACGGTGTGCTGGATGCAACGTGGAACGAAATTACAATGAGACGGAGTCCCAGCCCTTCTGTTTTAAGAGCAGGGCTCTAGATGTGATATACGCGTTTTTATCCCAGGGCCTAGTACTTAGTTGTTCTTGTCTTTGTTAGTGGCCAGTGGAGTTGATTCTGTTTCCTGCCACCCCATGTATAGATGCTCAAATATTTGTTGATTGACATAGAGGGCTTCCTACCACCTCCTGGAAGAGACTAGAACTGAGACTACTACTTCATCCACATTAACAGCTAGGAGTGACCCTTAAAGGCAAATCTGATCATGTCATTTCCTTCTTTAGGGAAGAAAACCCAAATTTTTACTCTGGTCTAGACCCCAGCCTCTCTAATCTCATTTTAAGTCAGGCTTTCCCTCACTCCGCAGTTCCAGTCAGACTCCCCTCACCCCCAGTTCCTTCGGTGCTTCAGAGTCTCTTCTGCCCTTGAGAGCCTTTACACTTTTTTCTTTCCCAGAAAACTGTGCTCCCTCTCCTACTGCCTCCTACCAAAATAGAAATCAAACTCACTGCCATCTAGTCGATTTCAACTCATAGTACCCCATTGGGTTTCCAAGGTAGGAAATCTTTAAGAAAGTAGATTGTTTTATCATCCTCCCACGGAGTAGCCAGTGGGTTTGAACCACTGAACTTCTGGTTAGTAGACAGATGTCTTACCCACTATGGCACCAGTAAAAATGCTCCTCAGGGGGCAGTACTGCCGCTCCTGAAACTCTCTGGACTGCAGTCCTAAGGCTTGGCTCCAGGGCCAGGCGAGTGTGTGCCAGCACAGGTGTACGTACACACTCTGACTGTTGAGACCACTGTCAGCACAAGGCCAGGACATCAATTCATATGACATCCTGTTTCGTTCTCCAGGTGTGGGGGTGGAGAGGGCTCAGAGATGCCACAGCCTGGCACTGGGGCAACCTCTAATGTGCTCTTTTTTTCCAGAAGCGGGCCCAGGATGCCATGGTCATCCTGGGGGGTGGAGGATTTCTCTTCACCTCCTACCTGACCTCCATGGGGGATGACCATTTCTATGCTCAACACTTGATGCCAGCTCTGCAGAGGCTGCTGGACCCCGAGTTAGCCCACAAGCTGGCTGTTCGTTTCATTTCCTTGGGGCTCCTTCCTCGGGCCACGTTTCAAGACTCTGACATGCTGGTAGGTATTCCCAAAACACCGGTGCATTAGATGCAAGGTAAACAGTGACGTACTCTAATGTACTCAGCTGGGGAGGGCCCTTTTGAAAACCAGACCCCTGAGGTAGCAGTGAGAATGTGGGGTTCAATCCCAGTAATAATAATAGTAATTGTTTTTGTTATCTCACTCTTACGTGGGGCTTTCTGTGTTATGCAGTTTTCTCACTTAATCCTCACAATCATTCCATGAGAGAAGTCCTATTATCGTCCCATCTACGAATTAGGAAATTGAGGCACAGAGTGACTTGTCTAAAGTCATACAACTAGGAAGTAGCAGAGGCAGGATTCAAACTCATGGAGTCTGGCTCTGGAATCTATGCTCTTAGGCACTATTCTGCTTTGCTCAGGTCTCAGGTACCTCAGTCTTCCTCTCTGGAAGACTCTGATGGCTGAGATGCTTCATAATTTCACCCCACCCTAACTCTCCAGTTCTAGCTCCATCATTCTCCTAAATCCGTGGTTCTCAACCCTGGGAGGATTTCAGAATACACAGATGTTCAGGCCATGTGCCAGGCCACATTAGCCATAATTTCTGGAGAGAGGCCTGGATGTTCACCAGGGAACTCTGATGTGCAGCCAGGGTTGAGAATCACTGTTAGCAAGAAAGGTTGTCTACACCAAGCTACACTTCTTGCCTCACTGACCCATTGAGGTAATGTGTACATTTTCACCTTCATGTTCTCATTTTTATTGTTCTCCCTTTTTGGGAGTATCCTTTTTACTGCCTTTTCCAGTATCAGGTGGTACTTGTCATTGGAGACCCTTTGCTAGTCCTCTCAAAGGTTTTCCTGCCACATCAGCTCACAGTGATAAATTCCCTTGCCAATCACTGGCTTTGTGACATCTCTTGATTTTTTGCATCCCTTTGAAAGTATTGCTACTAGATTTGTTGGCCCTATCAGGGCTGTAATCCTTAATTACTTAGGGTAGACCAATAACCAGGCTTCAAATACTCTCATTCTAGACAACAATCTGGAATCAGTCATACGGCTGACAGGGAAGAACTTTGTCTCCAACCATGGCTAGGTTCTGGGCCCTAGCACTCACAGGTGTGACCTGCTGAAAACTCTTCTTCTTCTAGCTCCTCACAAGCTTCTGAGGATAGGGAAGGGAACTTGCTGGGGCCTCTCATCACCCTGGCAGAGAAGGGTAAAACCTCAGGCTGGCTTATTAAGCTGGTTAAAGGTTTTACTGCTTGATACTCCCTGGGTTCCAAGTAGAACTATTTAGCCAACCAGCCAGCCTCTCTCTCCCACCAAGTGGAGTAGATAAAAAAGGACAAAACCATAACCACAGTTGGAAAGGCAGTGCCCACCTCCTGCTCAACCAGTGATGGAAACATGAAGTTTTCGCTCTCAGTTTTGATAATAATAATAGTACGAGCCTTCGTTGTTGTTGCTGTTGTTGTTAGGTGCCGTCGAGTCAGCTCCGACTCATAGTGACCCTGTGTACAACTGAACGGAACATTGCCCGGTCCTGCGCCAGCCTCACAGTCTTTGCTATACCTGAGCCCAATGTTGCAGCCACTTTGTCAATCAATCTCATAGAGGGCCTTCCTCTTTTTCACTGACCCTCCACTTTACCAAGCATGACATCCTTCTGCAGGGAATGTTCCTTTTTGACAACATGACCAAAGTAGGTGAGACAAAGTCTGGCCATTCTCACTTGCAAGGAGCATTCTGGCTGTGTTTCTTCCAGGACCGATTTGATTTGTTGGTTCTTCTGGCAATCCATGGTACTTTTTTTTAATTTTATTTTGATTTGGGTGAAGATTTACAGAGTAAATTCACTTTCCATACAGTGGTTCACATACACTTTGTCTCATGACATTGACCACAGTTTACCACAATGCAACAGCTCCCCTCCCACTTCCTCCCCAGAGTTACCTCTTCCCAGTGTCCATCCCTCCATACTCTTCTGCACCCTGAGCTGTCTCCCTGTGCATAAGCAGCCCTTCCTTCTCCCTTGATTGTTCTCTCC